GAGAGAGAGAGAGAGAGAGAGAGAGAGAGAGAGAGAGAGAGAGAGAGAGAGAGAGAGAGAGAGAGAGAGAGTTGTGCATAAAATTAGGAAAGAACGAAAATTGAAGCTGTACACAGTGTTAGTGTTTGCGAGCAAAGCCACAACCCGTCGTATGTGTTATGATGTAAACTTCTTGGACACCCATGGTGACATCACTAGCAGCAATATGGTATTCATAGTCACAGAAAATAGTGGGGATTGTGCTGCTGTTGACGTCTTGGTGATGCTGTCACAAGTGTGTCGATGCCCAACAGCACCACTTGGTTCTCACAGCGGCAGCCGTGGCAGTAGTAGTGGTGGTGTTAGTGGCAACAGCTGCGATGACACGGACGGTGGAGGTATAGGCAGCAGCAGCAGCAGCAGCAGGAAAAGAAGAGCGAAGAGGAGGAGAAGAACATCAAGAAGCTCAATTTGCATCATATCATATGACTACGATGTGCATCAAATTGAGAAATACATCACGCATCAAGTTCCAAATTATTTGTGCTTGCCTCTGATCTGCCACTTTTGTCCTTTTGTGAACATCGTCCTTGGCATGCGGAGCAGAAACAGCGGCAATGGATAGCCCAGAAGCAGCAGATGACCCAGGTCTCCTAGAGGTGAGGATTCTTCTCATGACGTATTTCATTCCTTTCATTGCTTCCATTGATTCCATTGCTGTACTTTCCTGGTAGAAAGTTTAATTTCAGTGATGGGAACCCTCGATTCCTCCCAGGTGCACATTGGTTATGTCACTTATGTGATGCAATGGTTAATGTCAAATCGTTCCTTGAAACTGAAAGTCCCTCTCTGCATCCCCTTTTGCACACACCCGTCCTGCCTCTCCGCTCTTCAACCCCTCCTTTCCCCATGGCGTCCAATGCCAATCAATCAATCAAACACCAAATTGCAGAATCAACTTTGCTCCTCGACCCCTCCTTTCCCCATGGCGTCAACACCGAAATAAAATGGGAAGAAGAACAAAAGACAAAAGAGTTTCAATGTCCTCTAGTGTCAGATTTCCACGTCTCCTGCAGAGTCGACTTTGCCCCTCTCACTATCTCACAGCAATCAATCCGGGCTATTGCGCACCCCCTTCTTGCCAGGCACACAGGCTACTGTCCTGCCTTTCCACCTCTAGATCAACTGGGGACTTCCTCTCGGGACCACACAGATGTCCGGCGCTGGTATAATAAAGTCTTCTTGCCTCCTCTCACCTTCTCGGAGCAATCAATCCTGGCGATTGCAACCTCGTCTTGGCACTCACACAGGCTACTCTACTGCCTTTTCCACCACGAGATCATCTGGTCTCTTCCTCTCCAGACCACCCCGAGGTCTGGCGGCGGCAGAATGAAGTCTTGGATTAAGAATGACTATTGCTGGTAGCCCTTCCAAAGCAATGCCCACCTCGCCCCATCATGGCTCTAGCTGCTCGATGCTGCTTGATGCCCCCCTCTTCTCATGTGAGTCGTCTCGGAGTCCGCCTCCCCTCCTGCCTCAACAGCACCAGCTATGACTGCTTGCCCTCCAACCAATATCTATGACTTACCTCTCTCTCTCTCTCTCTACCCTTGCTTCTCTCTCTCTCTCTCTCTCTCTCTCTCTCTCTCTCTCTCTCTCTCCACATACTGGCGGCAGCAAGGCAGCATGGTGCACAGGTTGTGCACAAGACACGCAACCCCAGTGCAAGGCAGAATCTGTCACAAGGATTGGCAGCAATAATATAGTCCTTTGAGTGGCACGGGGCCCAATGGAAGGCTGAGATAAAATGTCATCAGCTGCTGGGATGTAGCCACTACCTGAGGGCACCATATTGACCCAGTAGGTCTGGACTCGGAGCAGAATGCAGAACGGCTGCCACACTCACATCATGTGCTGGGAGGCTGCATTATGCAGCTCTTGTACGCTCTCTCTTTGTCAACCCGCCCTCATCATCCCTGGCTGGCTGGAGGCAGTCGCTGTCAGCCACAAGCACATTGGCCTTGCAACTTGTAATCTTTTTTTTAATTTAATTACCATTATCATGGCATTATGCAGTGGTGCAGCTGATGTAGGACTGCAATGAGGACGGCACGCGCTTTGTCAAGAAGACATTTTGATGAGATGATCCAAGCGAAGTCCATGTTTCCACACTCCTGATAATGTTATGTACCCTTATCTAGAGAAGGCTGGACTCGCAGTGTCTGTATGATCGTGGTTGCTGTGCCTCTGTGTTTGTAGCATGTCCCTTGTCTAGAGAAGGCTGGACTCGCAGTGTCTCTCTTTCTGAACGCGCCTTGTTCATGCCATCCTCGCATGGCATGTCCCTTTTTTTTTGTTTTTTTTTGTCCTCATGGCATGTCCCTCGTCTAGAGAAGGCTGGACTCGCAGTGTCTGTATGATCGTGGCTGCTGTGCCTCTGTGTTCATAGCATGTGGAAGCCATGTTGCTTATGATACTTGTTTGTGGCGTGCTATCTGAAATAGTGCATGCCCCCGCCAGGATTGGATGAGCTATGTCTGCATGCCTCACCCAAATCATTGTCCTGTTTGTGGTCGTGGTCGTATGCCTTAAGACCAACGCATTTTATGAAGCGCAACTCTCCAGTGAACAGTGGCTTTTATGCCAGTCTGATGCGCCGGTGAGTACTGAGTCCTTTTTCCCCTCTCTCTATGTCCCCTCCCCTCCCCCGCCCCCCGCCCCCCCTTTTCTCCTGTCTTTCTCCTCCTTTCCCCTCTCTTCTCCTTTCCCGCACTCTTGTTCCCCATGAGTGCAAACGAATGAGCATCAGCGATAGACCAGACGAAATGTAAGGTGGAAGTGTGCTGAAAGGTGAGCGGGTGTTTACGCATCATGTGCAGAAGTCCACAGACGTGGTAGGTCTTGCACAATTGGTACACAGCAGTAAAAAGATTGGACTGTTTTGCCAAGCATCATTCTCTCTCTCCCCCTATATATATCGTCAAATAGAACTGCCCGGTAAACCGTAGGCAGAGAGGGAGAAGAGGACAACAAATGAGGGGCTGTGACAAACTGTTTCGTCGGAGTTTCACCGACTCATCAGGAGGCTGAACCCTCAACAGTCTGCAGAATCCCC